ATTCCTTTTCTTATTTCCTCTTTATCTCAAAATAGAATAGGTTTAAATTTTTTATCTCTTGATTTAGCCGTATTCTAATCCGAGATAATCAAGCTTTAATTTCTTGCTTTCTTTGTTTTTATCCCCTTCTTGTATATTCTTTACTTTATCTGTTTAAATTAGAACTTGATCTTATATGTTTAAATCTTCTCCCTTCTTTTAATTTCTTTATATGGATAAGCTTAAGATTTTTCTTGCCTAAATCATCTTTAAGCATCTTTTATTCGCTCCAAAAAAAAGTAAATTTATCCTTTAAAGCATCTTTATCTTGCTTTTTAGACAGATATATAAAAGCAAAAAAAAGGGATAGCATTCAAAAAAAGATTTTTGTAGGATTTTTGTGCATAGTCTTGTAAGTTATGTCCATAGTTTGTGGTGACTCAGATACTAGGTCTACTGCATCATCTAGACTTCCTAGGAATGACTAGACCTACAAGACCTTATGGCTTAGTTCCATAGGCCTATCCTGTTTTAGGTTAGTCGAGATCGAGTTCTAGTAGGTCCATAATCCCACACTCAGAGTTAAGTATAGCGAACTCATCTGTAATTCAATCGAGCCGTGTGGTCCAGTAGGTCTGCATGGCCCGAGACATCCTCAATAGTCAAGGTGTTTGACGCGAGGCTAAAGAAACAAGACTAAACCCACCTTCATCTTCCAGGTCTTGGTGAGATGTTGCCCACTTAGGGTCACATAACCCATAAAAGGAGGAAGCAATTCCAGCAATACCAGTAAAAATTGATAATATGAAGACACAAAGGGACCAAATTATCTACTTTATAGAAAAAATACATATGAGCATGAGTTCACTCAAAACCCTGTGGCTCGAAAACCTCATAAACAAAATGCCAAGGATTGCCTTTACCTAATGACCATGATCCAAGACAGAATGGAAGAGCAAACCTCCCCGGAGGAAGTTCAATTGAAGTGGGACCGTATAAATTACAAACAAGGGTTTGCAACTTCTGGGACCTTAGTTTCAAGTTTCAAAGAAATTGGGAGAGAAACTATTAAACTTGGTCTAAGGATCATGAGAAACTTTTATCCCTATTGTGGCTTTGGACCATTAAGATGATAGACCATAATTGAGTGAACGTGGAACACATCAAGCATGACATTGATCCATGTTGGTCGCACTATCTATGACCATCCTTAATTATCATCGTGGAGTATTATTTTCATGTTATCTTGTACCATTATTTTAACTAGTTAGATGCATCTGCTTTGCAAGTCTCATTGTTTTAAAACCCGAATCGGTCGAGTGAATAGGCCACCCAGAAGACCGGTTCAAATCGGTGATTCAAACTAATTCTACCTGGTGAGAATCAATCATTAAAAAAAAAAAAAAAATTGAAAAAGTAAAGAGTAGAAAATTCGTAATAATAAAATGTCAAAACAAGGTGATCTAATGAGTTTCTTACACCTGCTTTGCAAATCTCGTTGTTTTAAAACCCCGAACATTGGGTGAATTGGCCATTTGATAAACTGGTCTAGATTAGCGATTCGGGTGATGTTCCAATAAGAGAATCCATCAATAAAAAAAAAATTGCAAAATAAAAATAGAAAAAACAACAATAAAAAATGAAAATTTGTTTGGTGCGTCCAAAACCACAGTTGTTACTATGAGTGCTTGGAGATCTACACCATCCACCAAAACCGGGTCCCATAAATAATTGTTCTCCAAAAAAATAAGTAAAATCAATATTTGAAATATTTTTTCCAAAAAATATCATTTCTAGTTTTTAAAATTTATTTATTGTCACGAGTTAATAATCTACATGTTAAAGATTATACATTCCCTAAAAATTAGGACCAAATTCTATTTCAAAAATAAATTATTACGCGGTCAGCATTTCTACATGTGAAACTGTGGACTCAGAACCGTGCATCCCTAACAGAAGTGGGTGGTTCCATGGAAACTCGTTCGATTCCTGGTTCCAACCAAGAACATGTTCGGTTGCCATTGTTTCCCAATCCAATCGAACAACCTCAATCCCAATCGTCGATTTTTCAAATATTGGCAAGTCTCAAATGTTACACATAGAATAAGATATTTATTGGAATATTATTATGAGAAATAAAACGGAGACCGAGAAAATTCGACTGCCTCTTTTTCATTTGTTTTACAAAATGAGTAAATTATTTGGGTATTGTTTTGAAGTAACATGTAAATACTTAACATAGTAATATTATTGTGGTTATAATTAAATTGAATCATGGTATTTAATTCCCTTATAAGAAATTCGCTAATTCTTTGGTTCGAAATACTTCAATTGATACGCGTAATAAATAGGTCAAGTCAACTGCTTTTTTCTCTTCAAAATTTTATTCTATTGATATATCTATGATTAAAATAATGATTCAAATATAATTACATAATTATACGTATATAACTTCACATATTCATAATTTTCATCAATGATTCAAGTATTTGTTACAATATTACAATTGCATTATTAATATTGTTAATAATATTTATGTCTACTATAACTGTTAAATTATAAGAATTAAGAGAATATAAAATGTTACTTATAATAGTATCATTCATTAGATGAACAGTACTATAATACTTAATAGGAAGTTCTAATAATTGCAAAATTATACTTTGGATAGATATTTTTAATTATATACTTTATTATATTATTTGATATTTTATTATTATTAAATTTATATAATATAAGAAAATAAATTTCAATGAAGGTAAGTAGTTATCTCAAGAACTTAATAAATGTATTGTATTAATAAGAACTTAATACATGTATCAGTAGTTCTACATTATATGGTTGCATCTTTATATAAACTTTCTCCTGTTAAGTATGTAAATAATAGTGGAGAATGACAAACAATATTAAGAGTAATGAGAGAAAGAGAGATATTTATTAATAGTAATTAATAGAAGAGAGTTGGAAAAAAATTTTAAAAAAAGAAAATCAAAATAAAGAAATATTAAGAAATTATAGTGTAATTTTGAAAAAGAAAAGGACACATGTCAACATTAAAAATAAAAAAATAAAAAAGAAAGAAAGAAGAAGACCTCATCTCTTAAATATATAATATATATTTAAACATTTGGTTTGCTCTTGGGAGAGCTCCATTTTTCACCGCCCCTCTTCTTAAAAAAAACAATTGACCCCTAAGCCCCCAAAGTGTGGAACGGAGACTATCTCTATCCGACCTACTGAGGCCCTCGTAGTGGTGCTAACGCTTTCTCAAAGAATTCCTAAGAAATTATTGTAGTTGCTTTGGTTTTTCAAACTCTCTATTTTTTCTAACATAGTTTTAAATTATTTTTTGATAAAATATCTCAATATTTTACAATTGACTCGAGGTTTTAAAAGATATCTTGGACATAAAAATTGTAGATTTTATTTCTTCTAACCTCTGAGCTATTTTAAACTTTTTTTAGGCCAAATAAATCTAAAAATACATGTTTTTTCTAAAAGTTATCCTTCCAAAATTCCCTCTTTCGCTCTCTCCACCCTCTTCTCTCTCTCCATCTTTCCCATCTCTGACCCCTCACTCTCTCTCCTCTCTCTCTCTTTTCACATTTTCCTATCTCTTTTCTCACTCTCTCTCTTCCTAATATACTAAGTATAAAGAGATAAAGAGAGGTGTTTGGATAAACACATCGAGAGAGAGGTGTTGGTTGGTGAGAGGTTATCGGAGGATATAGAGGTGTTTCGATAAACAATGGATGAAAGAGATGCTTGGTGGTGAGAGGTTACCGAGAGGAGAGGGAGTGAGGTGTTTGGATAAAAACTATAAGAGAGAGAGTAAAATACGCAGTAGAAAAAAGAGAAGTTTGGAGTATATAAATGAAGAGGGAGAAGGGCTTGGGTTTAAAAAAAAGACGATAGGAAGATATTTTTTTAAAACTTAAGATTGGTTAAAAAATAAAATTTAAAAATAAAGAATATTCCCTTCTTAATTTTTGTTTTTGGAAAGATCTCATCCTGTTTTATCATCCTGTCCTATAAGCTTCTATTTTTGGACATCTCCAATTTCTTATCCTTATTCAAAGATTATCCATTCTAATTTAAATCCATCTTAACAAAACTCTAACCATCTCCTCTTCCTTCTCAACTGTGCTACCCTTTTCCCTCCCTATATATAAAAAAGCTTCTTGTTCACCAAGCAAAACCTCTCAGAAAAACCATGGAAGAAACCAAATGGAACACAAGGCTCGGTCTGGGGTGGGCCGAGGGCTTAGTGGCCGTCCTCTTTTTCCTCCTCCTCCACTACATTCGCCACCGCCACAAACACCTCATAAGCTGGCCCCTCCTCCGCGAGCTCCCCTCCATGATCATCAACTTTCCCCGCACCCACGAATGGGGCACCACCATCCTCCGTGCCGCCGGGGGCACCATTGCCTTTCGTGGCCCGATCTTCACCGGCATGCGCGTCGTCCTCACCTGTGACCCCTGCAACGTGGAGTACATCCTCAAGACCCGCTTCTCCAACTTCCCCAAGGGCCCCGACTTCCATGAAATGTTTCACGAGCTTATGGGCGACGGCATTTTCAACACCGATGGCGACGAGTGGCAGGCTCAGCGGCGCACCGCCAACGCTCACGTCCACTCCAAGGCCTTTCGAGATTTTGTCAATAAAACCAGTCACCAGCTCTCATCCGATCGCTTGGTTCCCATACTCAGGAAAGCAGCGGTAGACGGTGCGGTGATCGACCTGCAGGACTTGACAATGCGCTACACGATGGATGCAGCATGCGCAGCAGTGTTCGGGGAGGCAGTGGGGTGCCTGGCACCGGAGCTCCCACAAGTTCCATTTGTGACGGCCATGGATGAAGCGCAGCAGGCGGTCGTGGCAAGGCATGTCTTGCCACACAAATGGTGGAAGGTGATGCGCTGGCTGGGGCTCGGCATGGAGCCGCTGCTTGCACGGGGCGTACACACCTTGGATGAATTTGTGGCCAACCAAGTTGCCCAAAAGAGGCTCGAGCGCAGCGGCGGCAACGGTGGCGACTTGCTGTCAATTTACACGACTGATGTGTCCGCCAAGACCGACAACTACTTGAGAGACGTAGCAGTGAACTTCCTGATAGCGGGACGGGACACCACGGGGGCGGCCCTTGCATGGTTCTTCTGGCTCGTCAGTACACACCCTGAGGTCGAGGCCAAGATCTTGGTGGAGCTCAAGGAGAAGGGCACTGAGGACCTACGCGAGCTCCACTATCTCCATGCCGCCTTATCGGAGACCCTGCGTCTGTACCCATCCGTGCCATTAGACCACAAAGGTGTGGTGAAGGAGGACATATTGCCTGATGGCACGACAGTGAAACCAGGCAATATGCTCCTGTACAACATCTATGCCATGGGGAGGATGCACTGGATATGGGGCAACGACTGCCTTGAGTTTAAGCCAGAGAGGTGGCTCGGACAAGACGGAAAGTTTATACCGGAGAGTGGTTTCAGATACCTGGCCTTTAATGGAGGGCCGAGGACTTGTTTGGGCAAGGAGGTGGCGTATGTGCAGATGAAGTGTGTGGCGGCGGCGGTGCTACCCTCCTTTGAGTTGCAGGTGGTGGAAGGGCATGAGGTTTTGCCGAAGCCGACGGTGATCTTGATGATGAAGAATGGGCTCAAAATGAGGGTCAAGGAAAGGGTGGCCGGAAATTTGCATTTTCCGGCGAAAATTATAAATGTGTAATGTGTAATGGGTAATGTGTATAGCTGGATACTCGATTATTCCGGGTCGGGTCTTCTTTAAGACTTCCTAAAAATGTCTTAGGCCAGTATGGATGTCAAAATATAAAACCTTCCCATTGAAAAAATTGTGAGTTTTTAAATATTGTCATCTCGCATGGAAAAATTTGTAAGATTTTTTCATCCTAAATTAATAAATATTGTCATCTTTTTCTATTATTACTCTGGACAGAGTGTGAAAATCTAAAAGTAGATTTTGTTTGCTGGATGGCGGTTTTGAGCATTCTTGTAAGCTTTTCCTATATCCCTCCCATGAGTAAAAATAACCTGCTTCCATGAGTAAAAGTAACTTGCCTCCATCACAATGATTTATAATACTAAGGTGTCAACAATCCAATAAGGCGCACCTTGAAATAATGTCCAAAGACTTTATTTAAGTATTAAAAATCATTGTGATGGACTGGAAATTTATTTTTATTTTTAAATATAAAATTTAAAGCTTCAAAAATAAAGTACATCTAATAGGTCTATGAGCATTTGATAATCTTGAAAATTCATCTACACTATTTTCAAGACTTAAAATATATTTTTTCCCATGTTCATATATCTTGAATTTTAGGATATTTGGGCATGAAAAGAACCTCTTCTATTGGATTTTTTAGACGTGCCTTAATTTGATTTTTCCTAACTAAAAGTTCAGAAAGTAATCTTCCAACAAAATTCTCATTCATTTGTTAAAACATGAAAGATTAGATTCCTAAGGGGATAGAAACTTAATCTTTCATAACATTTTACTATTAATATAATATATGGGCCAGCTTTCTATGCTTCCCCTACAGCATAGAAGTTCTATCCTCCACCTTATTCAACCATCCATTCTGAATGGAGAGCTAAGATTGCCCCAATCACAATGTCACATCTCTACACTATTTTTTTTTTTTGGCAAACTATTTTGACACCAAATTTTGGATGTCTATTCCTCTATTAAACTCGCACTAGAAAAAACTATAACAACATATTTTCAATAAAATAAATTGACCAAAATACCCCTGAAAGTTTCAAGGGGTATTTTGGTCATTATATTTTATCAAAAAATTATTTTTAATTTTTTTATAGGTGCGTCCCAATGAGAATGAGAAGACAGCACATACCAAATTTCACATTCATACAATTTGTAAAAAAAAACTAAAAATAAAATACTTTGAGACATTAGATCTAAGATCAAACGGTGAGTGGCTCTCTCGATCAAAATTAGACAGTTGGATGGTAAGGGGAGGATAGAACTTCTATGCTGTAGAAAAAACATAGAAACCTTTATAATATAATATAATATTATATAATATTATATAATATTATATAATATTATATAATATTATATAATACAATATAATATAATATAATATAATATAATATAATTTATATTATAGATTATATATAATATATATTTATTATATCCTATATAATATTTATATTAGTGCTTATTATATTATGTATAATATTTATATCATTACGTTATATATTAACCTATAAACATCATATATTATCTTATATATTATATATAATATATTTATTATATTATATAAATATGATTTGACCGAAATGTTGACGCGGCTGAGAGACTTGTCTAAGCTCCCTAAACTGAATGTTCCCTAGTATCCCTTCGTAAACTTTTTCTTTTTTCTGAGGAGGTAGTAAGGGTTGTTTACCCTTCTTTTATCTCCCATAGTTCCTTGTTTAGGGATTTTTCTTGCTAAAAAAATCAGCAATTACATTGTTAATACCTTTAATATATTCAATTTCAAATGTATATTGACATATAAAATTGTATAATCAGATTCTCTTATGATTTTCTTCCCCTCTTTTATTTTTAAGAAAATCTTTTACTGAGTGATTATCAGTTCTAATAAGAAATTTTCAAGAGCAAGAAAAATATGAAATCTTTTTAAGCCATTTTTTATGGCAAGAAGCTCTTTTTCATGGGTAATATAGTTGGTCTCACTTGGTTTAAACTTTCCACAACTATAACCACAGATTAATTCTTTATTATCTGCCCATGCTTTTAAAACCGCTACCCAATGTTCATCACTGGCATCAGTTTCAAGTATAAGTTTTTCTCCATCTTTTGGAAATAAACTGTAGGAATATTTAATAAATCAGCTTTTATTTGTTTAATAATTGTTGAGTCTTTTTCGCAACAAAAGAATTGTTTATTCTTTTTTAATTTGTCCAATAAGGTTTTTCTTTATTGGATAAATATTTTATAAAGTTTCTTCTATAATTAAGTAAACTAAGAAAACTTTGGAGATGTTTTTCGTCTTTTAAATCTTCAGGAAAATTCTTGATCTTGGAAATAATATGTTCTTGAAGTTTTATTCTAGTTTGGCCTAAAACAATTCCAAAAAAATCAATAGAAGTTTTTTCTATTTTCATTTTCTTTGGGCTAAGGATAATTCTATTTTCTATGTATTTATCACATATTATTTCTAAATGTTTATTGTGGTCTTCTTTTGTTTTAGAGAAGGCCAAAATATCATCAACGTAAACAACAAAGAAATCTTTAACATTAGAAAAAATGTTGTCAATCCATCTTTGGAAAATATGTGGTGCATTGCATAGTCCGAACGGCATAACAGTCCATTGATAGTATCCATAAGGGACACTAAATGTTGTTAATGGTTTGGATTCTTCGGTTAGTTTGATATACCAGAAACCTGATTTGCAATCAAACTTATTGAAGTATTTTGTATGTTTAGTTTGTCTAACTAGCACATCTTTTCCAAGAATAAAGTAACCATCAAACTCTAAATTTTGGTTTAGCCGTTTGTAGTTAATGATCATTCTAGCTTTTCCTCTTTTTATGTCATTGTGGTTTCTAACTATGAATGCAGGACTAGAATGTGGACTAGCTGTAGGTTCAATTAATCATTTTCTAAGAAATCTTTTATTTCTCTGAAAGCTCGTCTATATCTTGTTTAGTATAGACCATTGGTTTTACTCTAATAATCCTATTAGGATCACTGAGCTTTAAATTACAATAACGAGATTTTTGTGACCATAAAATTCTTTTCTAGAATCTTATAGATCCAATGTGAAGTATTTAAATTAAAAATTGTAGTCATACTTTCACCACGCTATGGTGGTGTAAATCTTTTTTTACAACAATACTTATGTTCTATAAGTATGTCGATCATAATTTTTGATGAATTATTTGTTAGACTGATAGTTTTAGGGCTAAGTTCCATAGGCAAATATTTATGCAAAAAATTATTTCCTAGAATTATAACTCCATGCATATATGGAAAACATAAGATTTTAGGAATAATAAACTTGTGATTTCCAAGCCTTGGAACATTTTTGGCTTTTAAATCAATTTGGGTGTCTTCACCATTTATTCCTTTAGCAAGAATAGGGTTCCTCATGGCAATCCATTTGTCTAATGGTATTGCATTAGGTAGACAAGCACAAGTAGTAGCTCCTGCATCAATTAGTGCATCAAGCTGATAAGGTTTGTAACCTTTGAAATTAAATTGTGCTAAGACATAAGTGTATCTTCTTTTATTTTGATTATTAAAGACGATTATGTTTTTTTTTTCCAATACTCATATTTGAAATTACCAAAGTTTTTTGTTCTTTTTGTAAGGTAGGAAGAATTGGTATTTCAAAACCTTTAAATGCAAAAATATTTTCTTGTGTTTTAAGAATTTCAGGTTCTTCAATTTCTTTTAATTTTAACCTTTCATCAAGTCTAGATAACATGCCTATATCTACTGATTTTCTTGGTTTAGATCGAGAATCGTTGATATAAAGATTTTTACCACTCGCTTGAAAATTTATTGGCTCACAATTTTTTTTATATTCAGTAAAATTTTGAACAAGCCAATCTTTAGGTATTTCCAGATCTTTCCAATTTAGAAGTCTGGGTTGAATTTCATTATCAAAGGTTCATGATTCGATCACTTTAACAAATTTTCTATCGTAGTCCTTGGTTGATGTTTGGGTTAAACTAGTCAACTCATGGATAGCTTTCCATTCAATAGAAAGGTTAAAACCATATGATTTCATCCCGATATTTTTGGTTTGAATTCTAAGTTTGACTGTATCCTAAATATTAGGGTCATTGACGAAAATAAAATAATTTGATTTTACCTTAAACCAAACTACTCCATTAACAAGGTTAGATTGAACTCCACCTATTAATGCTAAAATTGGGCCATTAAAACGTTTGTCTAACATTATGACCAATATTGGTGTATCAATACCTTGTCGAAATAATGATTTTATTTCAACCTATATTGCCCCAATATGAATATATCTTATATTTGAAAATTTTTGTTTTAGTTTCTTAATTTTTGTTTTGTCAAAAATAGAAATTTCACAAGTTCCATCTTTTGATGCTTTAGCAGTAGTATTACCACTAAATCGCTCAAAATGTCTGGCAGACCAGAATTTGAACTTAGAGATTTTGTATATCTCTTCCTTTTTTATTATTTTTATTTCATCTTGCTTGAAACTTCTTCCCTTAAAACATCTCCTAATTTAATAGTTTCAAGATCTTGAACATTTTCAAAAATTTATTTATTAGAGGATGTATTAAGCATGAAATATTCTTCCTCAGAAGATTCCCCTTTCTTCTTCTATTTCATAGAGAATGGATTATGTTTTAGAGAGATCTTCTCCAAAACAAATTTCAAATTTATTTTCTTCTAAAAACTTAACCATTTTTTTGATGTTTTGGTTTTTCTTAGGACAATTGGGTGCAATATGTCCTTCTTCATTATAAATATAACATCTACAACATATTTTTGGTGAAAATCTTTAGTTAATTTTCTTAACAACATATTTGTTCTTTTTGAATGGTTTATTCTTATTTTTCCATTTTTTCCATTTGAAATGATTTTTGAATTTTTTTTCTTTTTGTAATTCTTGGGACTGTTACAACCTACTCCTCTTTTAGGACTTTCTTACATATTTTTGAGGAAAGTTGGTTTTTAATCTGTTTTGTTGCCTTAGAAGTGAGGTAATGTTCCATCATAGTACTAAGTACAAAAGCAATCATGTTACCAAGAGTGTCAGTGCAATTAAATGATTCTACATATGGCTTATATGTAGAATTACATAATTCATCCCAAAGTGGAGGTAGTTTATGAAAAAATTGACCCTTTCACAATTCTAAATCAGATCCTTTCACTTCATGAAAGTATCTTTGAAATAATTTCGCA